ACACTGCTTCCTCAGACACAGGAGCTTGAATGTTAGCTAACAAATCCATGTACGTGTGTGCCTGTGCGTGTCTGTGTGTGTGTGTGTGAGTATGTGTGGTGTGGGGGGGAGGGAGAGAGAGAGAGCAGAGAGAGACACAAACTGTTGGAGGATATTTGATCCCACTGTGAACCCCAAAAATTGTGAACTGTAAAACTGTTTCTTATTTGGTGTGGTTGATCCCTATCACACACCTTTAATCCAAGAGTTTTCTGTACACAGGATTTAATAAAGTTAACCCTAGGTCAAGTGGTGGAGCAAGTAACCAGCTGACAGGGATTAGCAGAAAGGAGAGAGAAAATGAGGGATCGGGCCTCAGCTGGGATACAAAGTTAATAAACTGTAACCAATATTAAAAAATAAAAATTAAAGAAAGAAAGGACTTTGAGAGAAGTTTTGTTTGTTGGGGTTTTGTTTGTTTGGTTTTTGGGTGTTTGTTTGATAGGGTTTCTCTATGTAGCCTCGGCTGTCCTGGACTGTAGATAAGGCTGGCCTGGAATTCACAGAGATCCACCTGCCTCTGTCTCCTAGAGTGTTGGGATTAAAGGCGTGTGCCACAGGCCAGCTGTTTTTGAGACTGCAGGTAGAAGTAAAAAGCTGTCTAGCGCTTGAGCTTTTATCTGTCTGGTTCTCTGGCTTTAGTTTTGGCCTCGGCTCCTCAGCTTTCTGGCCTTTGGAGCTTTGAGCTAGCATACCTTTGACCTTGGGATTTTTGGCCTTTTCCTCCTGGGCTTTCAGCTGAGCTAGTGAGCCTTTTGGGCTTTCTCTGCTGGGACATGAGCTGAGAAGGAAGGTCAGCTGGGTGCTTCCTCTGTCTCTCTGAGCTGGCCAGTTCACCCCAGCATCTGACTCCTGAGACTTTATTGGTAAAATGGAACAGTTAGGATTTCCATCCATTTATAACAACAACAAACAGAGCCATTGTGACTTATGGTGCACTGCTAAGTTGGGACAGAAGGTATCATCATTGGCTTTTAGACTCATCATGGTTTTGTTTTTTTTCTCCTCTGAGAAGAGATACATTTTTTGAGTCAATAAATACAATGAAACACCATTTAGGTCTCCATCCGAGCCAGTTCTCCTAGGCCCTGAACACCCCCACCCCACTGCAGAGCAATCCTGGGACATCTGTGGCTCCTTTCTTCTGCCCTAGGCGATCGCTGACTCGATTTCTACCATTAAAGGTTAGTTTAGGCTCTTCTAGAACTTCCTGTAAACCGATTCATACAGTCCCGCCTCTGTGATACCAAGTTCTACTGCTGGCCACGGTCTTGTCCAGTCGCCATTTGTATTGTCACATCTGTCAGCAGTTCCCTTCCCTCCGTTGCCAAGGGACACTGTTCTCGCATGAACTGTCACAATCCATTTCCCATTTTTCTGGTGATGGGCATTAAGAGATTGAGTTTGGGGCTACTTTAAATAATGCCGCTAGAATCATTTACACATGACAGAGGAGGTGATTCGCCCTCCTCCTCCTTCTCCTTTTGTTGGAGAGAAGAGCAATTTTAAAGGGTAATATGCTGCTCTGATGTTTCTCATCATGAGGGAAAAATACAGTACAAAATGCTATAGATTAAAGAAAGGGTCTTGTGAAATTAGAATATACCAAGTATTACGTATCACTAACAACATAGCTCTGACTATACTTAGGTATGAAAACATGTGGAGGACAGAGGAAATACAATGGAAAATGGTGAGTTTGCTGTAAAATTTCTGTTGCTGAATTCTTGAAATAGCTCACTGTGTGACCCCAGGCTGGTCTCAAGCTCTCAGCAAGGACTCCCTGCCTCATGCGGAGTCACCGCGCCTCCATCCCCATAACTTTTCAAAAGTGTTCATTTATGTGGACAAAGATGGGGCTACATCGGGTAGGACCTAGAACCAGTTTTCCTGGATGCTGGGAACGACACCTGGATTGGGCACGCACTACCAAGGCAGGTCTTTTCCTGGTTTAGATACTGGGATATCTGCTGAACTAGATGTTCAATTCAGCAATACCCTCCTTTGTTGGGTATGTGGCTGGCTTCAGGGCTAGGGAGGAGTCCCCGGAAGCATCACACTCATTTGCAATCTAAGCCATCTTTGTTCTTGGACCTCAACCTGACCCCCTAAATGTCTTCCCAGTTCACCCAACCCTCACCTGGAACCTCTTCAGAGCACCTTCAGGATTTATTTGTGGGTGGGACTCACTCGTGCTAGGCAGCAGCTCCATAGAATAGAAAATGGCTGGGACCCATATTAAAAAATCTATATTTGATAACAAGGTAAAGTGTCATGAGGCTAGCCTTGTAACACACCTTGGCCGTAAATCAGCCACTCTGGCTTTCAAGCAACTGCAGGGCAGGAGCCTGGGTCAGGGCTGGCTGTGGGAGCCACGCTTGAGCTGGCTTGAGAGAACATTTTGCACAAGATATTTCCTAAGTGCTAGTGGGATTTGTGTCACAGCTCTGCAGGCCCTGGCTGGATTCCCATGTCCCTCCCTCATCTTGTTATAAAGATCACTGCACCCTCCAGCCAACAATTAGCTCTTCCTGGCTCTGGGGCCTCTGAGTGTCAGCATGGCGCTGAGCATGGTTCTTGTCATTTTGAGCCTCCTTCCACTGCTGGAGGCCCAGAACCCAGAACACGCCAATATTACAGGAATACCTATTACCAACGTCACCTTGACCTGGGTGAGTGCCTGCCAAGGGCCCGGCCCTGAGCACTGGAGATGGCTACCTTTCCTCTGGGTTTTTCCTTCCTTGATGTCTATGTTCATCTCCAGGCTCCTGTTGCTGCCCTTCCCTCTCCTGGAGGAAATTCTAACCAGCTTGGGACTCTGGTGGCATCCCCCTGCCTCCAAACTCAAAGCACCTCTCTGAGGCCTCTCAGTAGGAGACAGAGCAGTGTGATGGCTGACTTTTAAGCTGCATATGTCATCCTTGCCTGGGGTTTCAGTCTTCCCAAGTATGGCTCAGAAGGCATTGCCTGCCGGCCCCTCATCACTGCTGGTTGCTGAGGTCACACGCCAAGCTCTGCTCACCTGTGTGTCTACTTCTTCTCAGCTCTCGGGAAAATGGTTTTATGTCGGATTTGCTTCACACAACCTTGAGTTCAAGAAGGAAGCTCAAAAGATCCAGTCAGAATATTTTTATTTTACCCCAAACTTGACAGATGACACTATTCTGCTTCCAGAGCACCAGACCACGTGAGTCCTTGCAGCGGCCACCCACCCCCACCCGGGCCTCTGTTCCTGGATGCCCGGAAACCTGAGCAAACTGCTTCTGCCTGGCCTCCCTGCCCACCTTCAGGAATGGGGACAGCTGTCTTTTCTACCTGTTTCTTGCCTTTGTGCACGTCTCCTCTCTCTCTGCTACTTTTCCAGAGGCTCTGGGGCTCTCCATGCTCACCTTTCTTTTCCATTTGCCTTCAGGGAGGGCCGGTGTGTCTATAACTCCAGCCAGTTGGGAGTCCAGAGAGAGAATGGACCCTCTCCAAAAAAGGTGAGGGTGTGAACCCACTGCTTTCTGGGAGGTTATTGCAAAGATAAGAGGAGGAAACATGAGGGCAGTTAAGTCGTTCTTGGAGGCTGCATGCTTGTAATTAGAAGCAGGATTCAAATCAGAGTCCAGCTCCACACAAGTCTCTCTTTTAACCTCCTTTACCATTCTCTGTGACCTCAGAGTGGGAACCCATGGGCTGGGCAGCCAGTGACTTCACCCATGCCCTCATGTCACCCGGGACAACGCATCGGCAGGCTACGCAAAAGCTGTGGGCCTCATCTGCTTAGCAACCATGAGGCTTTTAATTCTTGTCCCTGCCCCCACCATTATCTTTCCAAGGTCCCTGCCATTCCTTGTCTATGAAGAACGCAGAGTCAGGCTGGCACACAGCAAACCCTGGGCACACGGCAGCTCCGGGGAGCCCCAGGCGTTTGCCCATAGCTCTTTGCCTCTTCACCTTGAGCATGGAGACCATGACAGCATTCTAGTGACTCACCGAACCCTTCCTCCTGCAGGAGCAGTAGAAATCATTCCCCACCTGACAGTGCTCAAGAAACATGGGGCCTTCATGCTGGCCTTTTACTCAGAGGATGAGAAGAACAAGGGACTGTCCCTTTACGGTAGGCCCTTCGCAACCCTGAGCTCCCCCGGGCCTTACCCTCCGTCCTCCACCCACACCCCACATCCAGACCTGGCCTCCCATCGGTGAACCCTTACCTAGCACAGTCATCCCCCATTCTCCCTTGCAGCTGACAAGCCAGATATTGCCCCAGAGCTGAAGGAAGTATTTCAGAAGACTGTCAAAAGTCTGGGCATGGATGAGTCAGAAATCATATATGCCGACTGGGAAAAGGTAAATAAAGGGATGAGAGCACCCTGGCGGTGGTCCCATTTTGAGTGACGCTAGAGACTCAGGGAGGGTGAGCTGCTGATTAAGGCAGCACAGTGAAGTAGGTGTCTTGCTGTTAAAAACCCTCCTGCCTGCTGTGGCAGCTGAGATTCACAGAGACCATAGATGGGCAATGAGCCTGGGGTGGTTGGGCTAAAATAGGAGATGCAGGAAAGACTTGGGGATGCTGAGAGGCTGGGCTAGAAAGGGCAACTGAGGGAATATCAGGTGCCAGGGTACTAGGCCTTTCCTTGAAGCTTTCCGTGCCACGCCAACTCCGGCAAGCCAGATGACTTCGGTGATAGGCAGGGCTGACCCATGTGGAGTCTTCTTAGTGCTCGCTCTAAACCTGTGCTCAGAGAAAGGCATCCTGAGCTTTGGCTTTGTCCTAGCTGAAGCCATAGGTTCAGCTAATGAGCTTGCGCTTTGTTGAGGAGACAGTACTCTGACTTTTGTGACTCCTTTCTCTGCTCACCGGAGGAGCCCTTCCCCCCCTCACAGCCACTGGAACTGAGCTGTTTCAGTCTGCCTTCCCCTACCTCACAACCAGGGTTCCTCAAAAGATTCACCCAGCCACCTGAGCCTCAGTTGTGTCATCTGCATGACAGTGGGGCCGGAAGGCTTACCCCATACCTCTGGACAGAAGTGTCCAGAAAATGCCTGCCATTCGGGAGTGGAGTGAAGAAGCTGAGGTCCAAAGAGAGGGAAATGGCTTTCCCTAGACCGGCTGTTCTCAACCTGTGGGTCACAGCTCCGCTGAAGGGAATTGCATGTCAGATACCCTGCCTGTCAGATACTGACTTTAAGATTCCGAGGAGTAGCAAAATTACAGTTATGAAGTAGCAACGAAAACAATGCCATGGCTGGAGGTCACCACACCACGAGGATGCAGCATCGGGAAGACAGAACCACTGCTCTAGGCACTCCAGTGAAGCCATGGAAGTTCCAGGATACAGCTGACCCACACTGCCCCGCCTTTTCTGGCTAACCACTGTGCTTTTAGCCTTTGAAAAGAGGAATGTGTTTTAAAATGTATTTATTGCTAGTGTGTGTGTGTGTGTGTGTGTGTCAGAGGATAACTGTAGTGAAGGGCCTCTTCAACCACCCTTACACGGGCTCTGGGGATCGAATTCAAGTTGCCCTTCTGGCTTACCTATCTTGCCAGAATTATTTCTACATCTCATCTTCCACCCAGATTACCCTGGAACTCACAGCAATCCTCCTGCCTCAGCACCCCCAGGTGTGTGCCACTCTGTTCTTTTCCCGGATGTCTTCTAGGATGTGTGCAGTCAGGAGCAGGAACATCTTGATATGAAGAAGAAGAAGAAAGAGAAGGATCTCTAGAAAGGCCAGGCATGGGCTCCGCTCTCTATTCCTGGGCTGTCCCCACACCCAGCCCTTCCACCCTGTGCACCTTGGTTCTTTCTCTGCACAATAAAGGTTTGGTGAAGCAGTCAATAATCATTTCTTTGCTTCCTTCTCTCTCTCTCTCTTCCAAGGACTTCCATGAATGGAACGGAGCCTTAGCTAGATCCAGCGAGCCCCAACATCTGAGTCAGGCTACAAGGAATTGCCCTTGTTATGGGCCCCAAACCCAAGAGGGCATTTAGGGAAGACAAGGCAGAAGACCCAAGCAGCAGCAAGTGAGGCGGGGAATCCAGATGTGCAGTGCCTGTCACAAGGGCCTTTACCTCAGAAGTGCCACCCTATCACTGGCAGGGAGGTGAGCTGGGAGACAGGAAGTTCCGTGCGGATGCCACCATGGTCATGGTGTAGAAGGCCAGGTCAGGGTGACACAGTAGACTTAGGCCTCGGCTAGAGGAGCTGGATGTCTCCCTGGAAGAGTCCTCAGGGTGTCGGTGTGGGACCCGGAAGACAATGACATGGTGAAATGACACTGGTTCCCTAGAGGCCAGCTGACGTCTATTTCACAACTGAGGCACCGTCCACTCAGTGGCAAACACAGGGTGTGAGAGAACCTTTAGGGGATGTGCTCTGTGTGTGTCTGTGAGGACATTTCCAGAGAGGGCCAGCACCCTGAATGTGGCCAGACCACCCTTGGGCTGACGGCCACACTCAACAAAGAGGAGAAAGCTAGTTGAGCACCTACGCTTGTCTCTTTCTGCTAAGCTCATGTCTGTCCCAGCTGGATGCAATAAGACAGCTTCTGCATCCTTCTGCGGGGCATGGGCTGGGGCCTTCCTCACAGCCCCCTTCACTTTCTTTTGTCAGGTATTTTGTTACTCAAATGTGAAAAGCACCTGATGCAGACAGCTCTGCCTATCAGCACACACTGGCGGCAGAGTGGGGATGGCAAAGTGGTACCACATGCATGCCCAGTGTCAAGCTGGGCTCAGGCACAGGAGCCTGTTTGCTCTGGAAGGAGGCTCTGGCCTGGGGCTCTGGCAGACACTTTCCTGCTGAGTGTCTCCCACCATCTCTGGCCTGGGGATGAAAGGCCTTGCTCAGCTGGCCTCTCTAGGCAAAAGCATGACAAGAAAAGCATGAGAGACAGAGGTCAGTCAGAAAGGCAGGCAGATTGCGGAATGATATGCAGCAAGGACCATGAGAGAGACCTTAGCTGACCTTCCCCGCCTGCACCCTCACCTTCAGAAACCACAGGCTCCCACACACACAACAGACACATGTAGCTTTGGGAATGTCTTTCCCCTTTCTTAAGATCGTTATTTATTTTCCTTCATTTGCTTTTATAACGAAAATATATTTTAAATGCCAAATATATATAAACAATCTGTGACAAACACACATTCCAGAAATGCTGAGGTCACTCTGCTATGGGATGGGGAGGGGGGTGGGACGTCGCCTCTCAGCCTCAGGCTGGGCTTGGCAGGTAGCTTGGTCCTCTGCTGGATGCTAACAAAATCCAAAGAAGCAATGAGAAGGTCTGAGGCTGCTGGGTGGTTCCTGGCCCTACACGAGCTGCCTCTACTCTGTAGGCTCATGGGGAAAAGCTCTGGGCATGTGTCACCTGACACCTCCACCCCAGGACATTTACGGGTCCCCAAGTACTGCCCTGCCCACAGGTTACCAGGAACAAATCCCCTAGCCAAGTTCTCCTTGACAATGCTGCCTTGGAGTGGCTATTACAGGCAGTGACAGGAATGCCACAGAGACCAGTCTTTTCTTGTCCTCTCTGGCCTTCACAGAAGGGTCCAAGCTCAAGTTAGCTCCCCAGTGTAAGGACAGTCTGTCTAGTGATACCCATATTATTAGCTTCAGGAGGACATGGACAGGAGGGGGATGACGAGGCGAGTCTCAGAGGCTCTGACTGGACAGAGTCAGCCGTGGTCACTGCACCTGTTAGGCAGAGCTGGTCCCCGGGACGCTCGACCAAGCCAACATCTCTCCATTTTACACGTGCCTCATGGCCCAGGCAGGTGGCACCCCTGGAGAGGGGGCATGACACCTCCCAGCCAGCAGTGGCTTCAGGAGACTGTTGATTGGGGGACGCCAGTGGCTGCCTGCCTACTCAGTCTCGGAGTCTCCACAGGATCAGAAGAGGCAGGACCGTCTTAGGCCACCAACATGGCGCAGGTCGGCAGACAGGGAGTGGCTCAGCTGTCGGGCAGTGAGGTGCACGTTCTCAGCGGCCCGTGCTGCCTCACTGATTGCGGCCTGCAGCTCCTCCTGATCATTCAGGCCCAGATGGGCAGAGTGCTGGGTTCCCCGAGATCGCCGGGCAGGCTGCCGGGATGCTTTCCGGGCTGAGGTAGGTGCTAGGGTTGCATAGTACCTGGGGAGAGAAGGAAGAGCATATGAGCACGGCAAGAGCCAGGCAAAGAAAGCAGTTAGGGGTTCAGAGCCCTGGCTGTATGTCTACTCACTTCCTCCCTGGTACAAGGCCCCTTGTGGAGATATGAGCTTAGAGGGATGAAGGAGAGTGTATGTGTGAGTACCTGCCCAGGAGCAGGTGCTAGGCACAATTAGTTAGAACAATCCTCTCACTTAACAATTACTCAGCGGCCTTCCCCCTGCCCCCTCCACTGTGTGCTGCCTGTGTGTACACACTGGGGCTGCAATGGAATTCTACCAGTATCTGGAACATTGTCTAATCAGCAAGTGGCTGATGAAAAGCATCAAGCTGAATGACTGGGCTCCCTGGAGGTAGCAGAGCAGCTCATGTTCCTCTTGGAGGGAGAATCTGGGCTTGCAGTGGCTCCCAGACTTGCTGCTCATATATGGGCCAGTTCCAAGCTTTCCAGGGCAGAAATTAAAGACGCTGGACTACGGAGCCTCTGCTGCAGGCTGTGTATGGCCAGCAGGTGGCAGCACAGCACCATTGCAATTTCTAGTTCAACCATAGAGCATGCTGGGTCCTGCTGTCCCATCAAGAAGGAATCTGAGGTGTGATTTGCTCTACCTATACCTGAAGTACGAAGCTCCTGGCCACCCTTGATGAAGCTCTGGCTTCCATACATTCCTACATGTAATCATCTTGACCACCGTTTCTCAGAAGAAGAAACAGGCCAGGGAGCCAAAATGATCTGCCCAAAGTCATTCTCCAACTGCTGGCCACTTAATCCTCTCCTTCCTTGGGGCCACCACAGCCTGCGAGTGCCCCTCTAGCCTCAGACTGTAAAGATTTGCCTTGAGGACAGTAGAGAACCCGAGGATCCCGCAGGCTGCTAAGCGGCACCAAGCCTCCCCTGCCCAGGAACAGGAAACATTGGAAGTTGTCCATACCATGTGCATCAGGGTCTAGACATGGAGAAAGACTTCCCCGAAGGACCCTGCAGACCCAACCAAGGCAGAAGAAACTACCCAGGCCTGGCCCTCATGGAGGTCCAGTGTCTGCTGGTGCCTTGGGCTTCTGTTCCTACTGCATTAGCTGCCATGGAGACAGCTACCACCCCATTATCCACAGAGGCAGACCAGCTGACTCATTGTACAGTGGAGGAAACTAAGGTTGCAAAGTAGCTGGTGACAGTTAGAGAAGGGAGAGGGGCTGCAGAGAGAACTAAGGTGAGATTTCCTCAGTCATGACACTTCCCGGAGTCACAGGACAACTCCACACGTGTCTTGCCTAACCCTCACAATCCGTACCTGGCTGAGCCACTCCCCCATTTCACAGATAGAGAAACTGAGGCTTAAGGAAGCAGTCCTCTGCCTCTGCCACAGCAGTGATGAGATGAGAGCAGGCTCTATACAAACATGTCTGAAACATCACTAGGCTGCCGGGCCTGCTCTCTGTTTCTTGGCAGGTGTACTCAATCCTAAGACCATCTAGTTGGTACCCATGCATGCCAAAGTCACGGAGACAGGGTAACAGGGAGCAGCTGCCACCACCAAGAGGAGCCTGAGTTGCAATGAAATGTAGGGGATCCTGAAGGTACCCCGGAATTGAAGATAAATCAAGAGTGCTAGAGGAAAACTGCATGCTTTGTTAACACAGGCGCACTCAAGTTGGTTCTCTGGCAGTGACAGGAGTGCTTATGAACACAGACATGGGGAACAGGCTGTGGGGGAGGGGCCTGGTGTGCGGGAAAGCTGTGTAGCACCCGCTCAAGCCCAAATCCCAAACCATTCCGCTAATGAGAGTCAACTGAAAAAGAGAAAAGATAGAACCTACACTATCTATCTACTCTCTCTCTCTCTCTCTCTCTATATATATATATATATATATATATATCTCCACTTTACATACATATGTA